ATAGGTAGAAGACACAGCTCCAATGTCCCTCCGATGGCGCTGGATCTCCAGTTGCACCTGGGTGGGCAAGAAATTATTCGAAAATAGCCATCCATGTTCAAGCAGCTGACCAGCTTTGCGTATACCGCCCCTCATCAAATGACTCACTGTTCTCCGTACATCTTGCCTTATTCATCCCCATCTGAACCCTGAGACTTCACCAAGGCGCTCGGAAAAGCAACCGGAGTCCCAAACGAAGGCGCAATCGCTGGGAGTCATTCATTTAGATTAACAGCAATACCCACCACTTTATACAACGCCCAGTTCTTGCCTTGTGTGTTTTCAACCGGCACGGGCCTCAGCTCAACTTCCCCCACCCACCCACGTACCTGACTTGTTCGGTACTCCGTGCTCTAGCATTCAGCTGGTAGCTACCTCATCCCTATCAACTTGCGCCACCGCCCTGGGGTTTCTGATCGCGCCATAGCTCATCAAACGAATAAATCTGGCCAAACACTTCCTCCGACGTCTCCTATTCGTGAATTCGTATTTGACTTCTAGTCACATTCTCTGGGTTTCTGTTGCTGTTGTTTAAGAACAGTCAAGACCCCATCGAAGACAAAGTTGCATTGCTCACGCGACACCTACTATTCTTCCCCCGACGCCTTCCTCATCTTCTCGACTCCTTCTGAGTTGCCCGACACAACTCGCCCAACATGTGCCGCTTCCTGGTAAGTTCGGTGTCATTGAGCGCCGACAGGACACCCGCTGACTGATTCTAGGTGTATCGGGGAAGCGACGAGATTCTTCTCTCCAAACTCATTCTTGACCCTACGCATTCTATCCTGAAGCAATCATTTGACTCCAGGCTCAGACTGGTACGTCACTCTGGCGCATAGAGCTTAGGTACCGTACTAATATCTGGCGGTGGCCGAAAAGGATACACGAAGAGGCCAGAACAATGCAGATGGCTTCGGAATCGGTTTCTACACGGATCCCAAGCTCGGTCACGCACCTTGCCTCTTTACCTCGACAATCCCCGCCTGGAATTGTACCAATCTTCAACGCATCGCCTCCAAGACCGCTTCCCAACTCATCTTCGCTCATGTACGAGCAACGACCGAGGGATCCCTCAGTGAGGATAACTGCCACCCATTCTGCCACGGTAGCTTGATGTGGATGCACAACGGTGGTCTTGGGGGTTGGAAGTATATCAAGAGAAGGCTGGGTTCGAGATTGGCAGACAAGTGGTACCTTGGGGTCCAAGGCGGTACAGACAGTGAATGGGCGTTTGCGCTGTTCCTCGATACTCTCGAAAGGATGGGCATCGACCCGGATTCACAGCCCGCCCACGGTTTCGGGCCTACGATATTGAGGAAGGCTATGCTGAAGACCATCGCCACAATCAACGAATTGATCGATGAAATCCCGGAGAGCACGATCCAGTCGGAAAATATCGACACTCGAAGCTTGCTCAACTTTGCTGTCACAGACGGCAAAAGCGTTATTTGCACTCGATACATCAGCAGCGCGACAGACGAAGCCGCGAGTCTCTACTACTCTTCAGGCACTGAATGGGGCACGAGGACATCGGCAGCAACCGACCGCAACTACCAAATGGAACGCCAAGATAAAGGCGCAGATATTGTACTTGTCGCAAGTGAACCGCTGACGTTTGAGAGAGGTACGTGTTGAGAGTTTCGTAACGCGGTGTTTGGGCTATTGCTAATCGGAACAGAGAATTGGGTCAACGTTCCCACAAACTCGATCCTGACAATTCACAACCAAACTGTCATGGTTCATCCGATTATTGACAAGTACTACGATCGAAGCCCGTACCACGCCAGATCAAGCGCTTTCGTTCAGACGAAGGGACTCATGGCGAACGAGAAGATTTCGGCACTACTCAGCCCGGCAGCCACGTCGTTGCCAGCTCCTGATGCTGCAAAAAAGAGCCTTGGGCCGACTATTCCTTTCAGCGTTTCTCGCGGCCACACCCCTGAGCCTACTAATGTTGGCAAATCCCGGCCACATAGCCAACTTCACGAGATATCAACACCGGCAGACTCCAGGTCTATCATGACCTTCTCAAGCGCGCAAACCAGCACATCAAAGCCTCCGGTTCAGGGAAACATCAAGGTGAAACGGGCGGCGCTAGAGCAGGCTGCTCCCAGTGCCGATAGCGATACAGACTCGCTGCTACCTGTGGAGGACCAGGCGCAGAGCAGGACAGAATTTGGTCATCCTAATAAGTTGTCGAGATTCTTCCCCGAGTTGACCATGACCTAGCCAGAGGGAGCCATGTGTGCCCGGAGGAAAGGAGATCAATCAAGCAATACAACCGAATACCCGCCTCGACACGGCCCAGCCACCGTGACATGTGAACGGATCCAGGAAGCCGGCAAAGCAACCACATGAACAAATCAATTCATCAACTAGAGAAGAGGCGACGCAAAAGCTCAGCTCTCCTCACGGGGGGCTTACGAAAATTTCTGGACACTCTTACCAGCCTCAGGTATTGCGATTCAAGGATATATCACGAGACTCGAACTCGTGCCTATGGGAGCTGAACGTGTTAGCTCACGACTCTCAGAAAGAGCTACAACGCGCGCCTTGTAACTGTGTTCACTGTATTATTACTGCTTATGATTGCAAGTTGGGTAGTGTGTATTGGAGTTTTTTCTGCATTTATCACCTGGGTCGCTATCTAGAAGGAAGAAATCTATTAAGCAACCAAAATATTTATAGCTCAGACGTTGACAGGCCGTGAAATCATATCGCCTTACGTTGCTCGCTTTTCGACTGAACAGCTACAAAGCATTCGACCTTCCGGGGCTTGCAGCTCAGGGTGCCGAACATGAGGTCCGATTTAACGCATCATGCATGTCGCCTATCAATTTGCTAGGGATCGAACGGGGCACAAGTAGTTTCGCTCCACACTGGTTGGACTACCCCAGAGACTCGGACACTTGGACTAGTCCCTAAATCGGAGCCAAGCACGTAATCTCGTGGGTCATCGATGTTGGATGAATACTATGCCTATATGGCTCGAATAGCTACGCCAACTGTCATTTGATAGTATAGATGGATACCCTATGTATAGATCTTGCTGCTCTCTGAATCCTGGAACATCATGCTCGGAGTGATAATGCTGATGCTTCAGTTTGGATATTCCATAGATGCAGGCAGAGCTTCATGCTCTGAATCGGAATGGCAGTGTCTATTGGCGGACGGATGTGCTGTCGGGCGACTTTGTGTCGAAGTTGACCCTATCTGCTGGGCCAGATCATTAAGACAGCAATCGAATGTCAAGTACCTGCAAATGGAAGATCAGCACTTGGCGAAACAATCGTCTCTTATCTTCCCTGATGAAATCGCCAATAGAGATGTTACCTTAGGTAGCTTCCATGGCTGCGGGAATAAGCCGCTAGGGATCTTATCTTGAAACTGATAAAGCCACCACCACTCTCCCTCCGCCCTGCACAAGTGACTTGAACTACATGTTCTGATGTGACCACCTCTTCTCTATTCGCTTGCATAGCTCAGAGGAGCATCTTCTAATCAACCCGTATTGAGACGCTCAAAAATGGCCTCGCCGAGATGCTTCTTCCTAGACCTACCTTGCGAAATTCGTCTCGACATCTACGCCCTTCTCCTTCTCATCCACCCTCCCCTAGATAGAGTCGGCCCGTCCTCGCCGCAAGCACGGCTCCATCCCGCAATCCTTTCCACAAACCGGCAAATCCATACAGAGGGGACGCCCATTCTCTACGGCAGCAATATATTCCTCGCGCATACCAAACTTCTCGCCTCCTTTCCGCGTCTACGGCCATGGTACTCACCCGTCCGTGAGCGCTCCGTGCTCCCCCGCATCCGCCGCTTCCACATCCGGCTGCGGCTAGACTGCGACCTGGCGTTTGATGCCGCGGCCGCGACGGCAGCATTCAACGGCGTGGATGAGCTCGTCGTCGAGGTGTGGCAGGCCGCCTTCCAGAGTGCGGACCATGGTGCGCTGCGGGTGTTTGAGGAGGTCCGGGCAGTCAAGACTGTCAGGGTCTATGGCAGCATCACAGGGTTTGAGGACTATGTGGACTGGCTTGAGGGTGTGATGCGCCGCGGCGGTGAAATCGAGGGCAGCAAAGACATCAGTCTTGTCGGGACGATGTCATCTCAAAGTCGAATCCCGTGAGTTTCATTGCATACTTTTGGGGGGTTGTGATATCTCAGCTGCCAATGCTAGGAGTTCAGATTTCTCGTCACTCCTGTACAGTCCAAGGCATTGTGCAACCAGCAGACTCCCATGCATCCAGGAAGCTTCGGTCGCACGAGATTGAGTCTTTCTATACGATCTGGAGTTGCCAGCTCATACAGCATCTATACGATTCGAGCTTTCATAGCTAGCACGCAGCAAACGTCCCCCGGACCTCATTACTGTGGTGGTCGCGCTCTCGTCAATGGCGACATCACACCCCGCGGTGACAACACTGGACTCCACTCCGCGCTCGCACCTGCTCCTCCACGGGTCCCCTGACGTCCAGCAGTAGTGGATCACAGGGACGATGATTAGAATGGATGAGGGCTCTTGGCTCCGCCTATCATAGCAACCTTGTTACCGGCGTCCTGGTCACTTGGGCCGCACCCCGCCGCTCAGAGTGATTTCCGCTGGGCCCTTTTTACGGTGCTGGTGGGGCCGCTGACCTCGGGACCGCTGGCCTGTCGGTACCTGCGCCGAAATAGCGCAGCAAAGACGCTAACCCCCATGCGGTCGGTCTCATGTCGCAATCCTGTGCACCAGGCGAACAGCTCATTTGCAACTTTCTTGCGACCTTCCCCTCCAGTGGCAGCACACAAAACTCCCTCCTACAGCATACGAACCCAACGACTGGAGGTTTGCTGACTGCATACCTCGACGAAAGGTGCCGGCGAGAAGGGAACGCAAGAAGGCTCAAAGAACAGTATTCGGGCATCTCACTGAGTTCAACAAACTCCGCTCAACCTCGCTTTCAGTAGCTATAGTCGACATGGCGTTCGAATTTCTCCCCTTCCTATCCGCCGTCTTTGGCTGGATTTACTTTCTCTGCTGGTCCGGCTCCTTCTACCCGCAGCCTCTCCTCAACTTCCACAGGAAAACTACGGCCGGTACAACGGTCGACTTTCCCTTGATCAACTGCCTAGGTAAGAACCCAGGACACCACGTAGAACATAAGAGAGACAATCTTCAAGTACAGCGCTGACACTCCGACTTTCGCAGGCTTCCTCGCCTACTTTGTCTCTAACGCCGCCTTCTACTACTCCCCCGTCGTCCGCGCCCAGTACGCCGCGCGCAACCACGGCCTCACCCCGACAGTCGCCTTCAACGACATCACCTTCGCCGCCCACGCCCTACTCCTCTCCTGCATAACCACCTCGCAGTACGTGCCCAAGCTCTGGGGCTTCACCCCCGCGCCGGGCACGAACCCTAGCCGCTTCATCTCGGGCATCGCCTCGGGCTGCATCGTGGGCGTCGCCGTTGTCGGCCTCATCGTCGCGTCCGCCCCGGGGGACGGCGACCCCGTCACGAGCTGGTGCGCCCTTGACGTCGTCTACGCCGTGTCCTACGTCAAGCTCGTCATCACCCTCATCAAGTACACCCCACAGGTCATTACAAACTACCGCAACAAGTCCACAAAGGGCTGGTCCATCTGGCAGATCCTGCTCGACTTCTCCGGCGGCCTCCTCTCTGTTGCGCAGCAGGCAATCGACTCCTACCTGCAGCGCGACTGGTCCGGCATCACCGGTAACCCTGTCAAGTTCGCGCTGGGCAATGTTTCCATGGTGTACGACTTGGTCTTCATGACCCAGCACTACATCCTCTACCGCGGCTCTGACGGCAAGGCTGACGAGAGAGATTCGCTTCTCCGTGCGGACGATGAGGAGCATCAAAGACTAGACTAGACTAGAGCAGACTCGTCATACATGTACACATATGGCTTGGAATATACTTGACATATTATCCAGTACACTAGTAGAAATTTGGAAGCCTTGAAGATCTTCTAACTCAATGCTTTGTTAGCTTTGCTCAGACGCCCAAGCTTGGCAGGTTGTCAGGTTGGCATCCTGACCACTTCTCAAGACATCTCAGTGTGAACAAAAGCCGTCTGAAGACCTTCTAGATAGTCTAAGCTGGAACTCTAGAAATTCTAAGAATTCTACCACTACGGTCTGTACCTTACACATTGTATCCATGACATGTGACCCTCTCAAAGTCGAGACGCAACGATACCAATTCACGTTACAGCAACACCAAGGAGAAACTTCTTTCAGAGGAGAAGGGAAAAAAGGCTTCTACAAGACACAAAAGGAACAAAACTGAAAAAAAAAAGTGTAAAATTGAGGAATTGCTACGAATCCCTTTGTATGCCTGCCCTTGAACGCCGTCGAGGGGATATGCAAATCTCTCAACCTCCATCTCTCTGCCGTAATCGAAGAGAAGCCTCCCTCTCACATAGCTTCTTCTTGAATGACTCGCTTTGAGAAATAGGGTGTCGTCATCGCTGTCTTTGACTCATTCTTCTAGAACTTTTGTATTCCCCAGCCGTATATGCGATTTCTTCCCATTTGTGACTCTGGGTTCTTTGTTTCTCATCCAGACAAGCATCGAGGCTCTCTCTGGCTATTCCAATCCGTTCCAAAGGCTCATGAAGAGGTGTTTTCGTTCGTCTGCATGAAGGCAGGAAGCTTCTTCCAACTCTCCTGGCTAGGGACCTTGACCTTTCCAAAGTCCTCATCAATGTCCAAGATGATCTTGAGGGCGTTGCGGCTGCGGGCAAAGGGGCTAGTGTCGAGCTTCTCCTTCAAGGTAGAGATGGCATCGCCAACACCGGTGTGGACCTTGGAGCTCTCAGGCTTGCCGGGATAGGGGATAACGTTCTGCAAAACCTCGTAGGCGGCGAGAGTGAAACCGAACTGCGGGGAAGAACGGAAGATTCTGGCAGGGCCGCCCTTGAAGAAGGCGCGGAAGCCCTCCTCCTTCCAGATAGTCTTGGCAGCATGACGGAGACCAGTGTAGGTGGCCTCGCCCTTGCGAGCCTCGACCTGAAGACGAGTCTTGATGACGTCGCAGGGGGTGGTGAGGTAGGCAGCGGGCATACCAGCAATGGCACCAGCGGTAAGCAGCTGGACAACTCCCAGCTTCTTAGTCGGAGACTCGCCAAAGAGATCCTTCTTCAAGTGGCTGTAAGTAGGGAAGTAGATGGCCGAGAAGGGAACATCACGCAACAAGCACGCGGAGGCACCCTTGTAGAGACCAACGAGACCCAAGTTGCGCACAATCCACATAGCCGACCTCTTGGGCGCGCCCTCAACAGTCTTGGCGACCTCACCCTGGACCTGGAGACGAATCTTGACAATCTCGAGGGGGTTTGTGAAGACCTGTGAAAAACAATGTTAGCTTCTGTCACTTGCTTTCAGGTAACACCAGACTGTAGTAAAAAAGAGAGTGAACTTACAACTTGGCATGCACCAGCAGTACCACCAGCAAGAATTTCATGGCCAGTCCAGATCTTGCCCTCCTTGTTGGTGAAGTATGTACGCACAATGTCGTTCACCGTCAGCTTAATGGCCTTCTCTGGCGCAACACCAATGAGCTGGGGTACAACACCCGAGTAGAGGCCTCGGGGCCCCTCGTTCCTCCACACCTTCTGGAAGCAATCGATCGAGTTCTTATACAATCTTTCTCCCGGTCTGGCGCTTCTTTGGTTCTGGAGACGGGTCTTTACAAGGTCAATGGGGTAGACCATGAACGCTCCGAAGGCACCTGCCAAACTACCGAGACCAAAGTTGTATGCGGATTCGAGAATCGATGCGAGAACAGCCTTGGAAGCTCCGGCGCTCTTGGCAAGAACTTGCGAAGCAGCATCGTCAGCCTCGTAGGCAGCGTTTCTCCATGATGGGTCGAGGACCTTGGCAAAGTCGCCGAGGCCAAGGCGACCAGAGGGCTCGTCAAGGCTGGCGAAGTGGAAGAGAATGTCGGCTTCCATGGGGGTGAAGAGGGAGAAGCGAGTGATTTTGGCGGCCTGGTTGAGGAATTCCGTCCTTGTGATCTTGCCGTCGGAACTCTTGGCGCAAGCACGGCGCACAATCAGTTCAACCAGATCAATCTCCTTAATCATGTTCTGGAAGGCGCGAACGTTGGCGTAGGAAACCTTGCTTCCAAGCGAGATGTTGCAAAGAGTCGACAGGTTCTCGAGAAGGTGGTCAGAGAGCTTGTGCTTGGAAGTCTCGCGAATAATGCGCTCAAAGTCCTCGGGGTCAATGAATCCATCGCCATCCTTGTCGAACAGCTGGAAAGCCTGGCGGATGCGCTCGCCCTGCAGACCACGCAGCATCTGGGAGAATTGGGGGTAGTCCATGTGATGGCGCTTCTTCTTGCTGCCAATGTACAACTTGGCCCATTCGCACTCCCAGTCAAAAGGAATGCTGTCGGGGCCCTTGTTTAGCTCATAGAGCTTTCGGAAGTCCTCGTACTTGACATTGCCGGTTCTATCGACGTCGAAGAGGCGGAAGGCGATCTCGTACTCGGCGTCGGGCTTGATCAGGAGGTTCTCAAAGGCGGCCCACTCGGAGAGGGTAACCTTGCCGGAACCCTTACGGTCGGCGATGCCGAAGAGAATTCCGTACTGTTCGCGCTTGATTTTGTGCTGCGGTGTTGGGTTTAGAGTCAGTAAAATGGATCGAGTGGTCGGTTCATCGGAGGGATATCGGAGCTGGGTTGTGCTCCCGCAGCAGTGACAAATTGGAAGAGCAGAAGGTGAGGTTAGAGTGAAAACCCGAACTTACGAAATCTTCATCCTCGGGCGCAACAGCCTTGGTGAACTCGTCGGGGCCCATGTAGAGCTCTCCTGACACCTCATCCTTGACAGCATTGGCAACGAATCTCGCCTTTGTCTGCGCAGACAGCTGGACGGGCTCCTCGGCGCCAAGGAGGCTCTCCTTGACAGCCTCCTTAACGGCAGCTGCTTTGCTCATCTTGGGCGGCTTCTGCAATTGAGCTTATGTGGAGGGTGGAAGGTTTGTTGGAGTGCGAGCGCACAGGAGAAATGGTTTGAGAGCTGTCGCTTCCTGGGCCCTGTGTAGGAGAAGAGGAGAAGGTGCGCTCGGTGAGGTGAGGTGACTGTGGCCCTCGAGTGGGTTGTGGGTTGAGTGGACCTGGATGCTCTTGCCGCTTGCGCGACGGAGTCTGGTGGCAGGTGCGGACGCGATGAGATTGGCCTTTAGCCGACGTGGGCCTAGCTGGAGATGGGGAAGGAGCCGTTGGCACTTGTGCTTTCCTCTCCAGTATTGGTCCTTGCTGGTCCTCTGGTATTATGCCCTGTATATTACAAGGGGGACAGATGGGAGTGGGCAGAGCAGACAAGGAGCAGAAGAAGGGGGAAGGAGCAAAGGGTAAAAGGCCAGGCCGGCAGAAAGGGGGTCCAATCTGGGGAAGTTCGTCACACACACGAAGCAGGAAAAGGCTTTCTTGCTGCAGCCGGGAACTAGTGACAATAGGCACCTTTTCTTTTTTGGGTGTTGCACGCGGCAAGAGGTAGAATGCAGGAAACTTGGAACGGCTTGTAGGTCTCAGGCTGGGAGTGATGGAACTTGACTTAGGTCCCTATGTACGGATACGGATACTTTGGACAACCTGGGTAGAGGCACCATGGGTTCCTTATGACGAAGTCAGACGGATCGCATCAGGTCAGAGACATACAGCAGAAGACAAGAGGTATCAGAGACAAGGCCAGAAACAGCGGGAGAACCTGAGTCAATTCCAAGGTTGGTGCCCGTTTTTCGGAATCGCCAGCCATCTGGCGTAATTTTTTTTTCTTCCTTGCACGCGGGAGTCAGGAACACGCGCCGGATCATTGTTGACCCCTTTGGAAACCCCTGCAGATTGGTCCGATAAGAAATCCGATAAGACACAAGCAGGGTTTATCGCCGATTGTATCCCGGGAGTAGGTAGGAACCTTGGCTGATGAAGGAGAGCGCCATCGAACATTCAACTGCCACATGCACATGCAGACACTGGACCAGCTGGGACACACATGTGCACCATTTGCGCTGCACCGTCCGCGTGCTTGCTTAAGCTCGCTCTCGGGGTTCTGACCGCCTCGGCCACGCCTGTCGTAGCTGCCGCCGTCCCGAGCCTGCGCTCTCTGCAGAGCTGTAGCCTCGAACTCTGTCCAATCTTTTTCTTTTGTCTTCCCCACCTTCTTCTACTTATTCTACTACCCTATAAGGTACTCTAGATCAGCAATAACAGGTGCCTCAGCCAATTGCCTTACAAAGTGTTGTCTTTCTCATGAACCTTCACTAACCCAGCAAAGTATGTTTGAAGCTGTTCTACGTAACCCCTACGCGAGATATGCAGTGATACGTAGAGACAGCTGCGGTAAGGTGCGGTTTGCGCAAATGGTCACGATTGGACCATCTAATCGCTTCAAAAGGGTTTAATCTGCCTTTCACTCCCACATAAAATCGGACGCGACCGGGACATTTGACACAAGTGACGGGGACCAGGATACCAGAGCCAACGAGCCCGTTCCTCCGATTACCATCGATTCGTGCGCATAAACCTCGGACAAGTGGATCCCGGACCCGCTCCGAACTTGCCGACAGCCAGACAGAAGTCCAAGAAGTTGCTGAATCTTGAAATCAACCGCGATGGGACGTGCGTTTACTGAACACACAGTCATTGAAGTGGCTGATGAAAGGTGGACCTTTGGGGTAAGACTTACCTATTCAATCCATTTAGGCACAGTCGCGTTTTTTCCCCCTCCTACCGCGGTCCTCTTGATGCATGGCAATTCTCCGTCTACAGGCATAGCGCGGACCGCGGTAGGTCTATGCGCCTCCAATCCCCCATCCTCCATCCCCAAAGACTCCAACCAAGCGTGGGGGAGGACATTGGGGGCAAATTCCCTTCACCTTGGTAAGATCTGAAGGCTATATATAGGCAGTACGATTATGTAGGTAATAAGGCCTAGGCCCAGAGAAGGATCCCTTACAGGGAGGTTCCGCGGAAGCCCAATGCCGAAGGCTCGGAGCAGTTCAGTTCATTAACTTCCCGTTCTCCGAGCCGCTCAAATCTGCTGCCGCAGTTTCACTTCGATACACGCGCACCAACGGAGTAATATGTAAGGCAGATGCCTAGGCTCTTTCCTTCCAGACTGTAAGCCGACTTCAGTCCTCCATGAAAGAGACCTGGAGCTCCCCGGGGTCCCGGCTCCCTTCGCCCTATCTGTACTCCAGCCCTGCCTTACTCGTTCAAGTTCCGAGGCTCCTCGTTCTTGCCAATGACCCATTGTCGCTTCACAAATGGACCTGTGCTGTTCCAAACGGCCGAGCGGCCCCGATGAACCCCACGCAGTCACCAAACCCCACGCCATCCCCAGCTTGCCCGCTGATGCGCACGCCGTCTCCGTCCTGCAAATACATCCTGTCTTGACCAGTGGACGTCTTCCAACCGACCTTGCCGCCCTTGGTCATCTCTAGAAGACACCCGTGCTCGTCATCGCCGGCTCCCGACACCGTCCCCGTCGCCAGAATATCGCCAGTGTTGAGATTACACCCATTGATTGTTTGCTGGGCCACTAGGTCGCGGAACGTCCAGTACATCCAGCTGAGCTGCGCCTTACACACCGTCGTAGCCCCGTCGCCAGTTACTACTTCGGCCTTCAAGGCGATATTGTAACTCGATTTCTCCTTGTTGTCCAACAAGTATGGCTGCGAGGGTATATCCTTCGGAGGAGGTTGTGTTGCAAAAGGTTCGAGTGCTTCGAGTGTGATCACTTCAACGTAGTTAGCAAGCATTCTTTCAATTTCGAGACAGAGTAGAGTCTGGCTCACCCCACGGACTGATGGACGTCCCGAATGACTTGCCATTCATCGGTCCCAGCGGACTCATCTCAAATCCTTGGATATCGCGAGCTGTCTTCCATTAGCATCGCAAGAACATCTTGCAAGGAAAATCGGGACTCACCACTCCAGTCGTTCAGCAGAACGAGACCAAATATATGCTCGTCGGCATCCGTCACAGCTACGCGGTCTCCAAGCTGCGTCGGTTTCCCAACAATGCAAGCCACCTCGAGCTCGTAATCAAGCGCTCTGGAGGGACCGAAACCAATACTGTTTCCGTCACTATATTGCCCGTACGGCCGCGTGATATTCGTCCCCGAAAGTACAATCGAAGAAGGCCGACCACTGTAGCCGATGGGCAAGTACGGTGCTGCGGGTGGCATGGAGGCCTTGCCCACGACTGCCTCTGAAGCATTCAAGAGATGTTCTTTGGAGCACGAGAAATCTGTGAAGCCGTCTACTTTGATTGGCAAGTGTAGCTGAACCTCGGCGATCGGTACGCCATGTTCAGACAGAGTCGATTCGTCGGAAAGGGTTTGTTGAATGTTCTTTCGGAGGATCCCGAGCTCGGTCTTTTCTACTGCCGCCAGGGTATTGAGGGTCGGCTTTGAGGCTGTCAGTATTCACAAGTGACTAAGAGGGACAAATGGTCAGACCTGAGACAAAGCGGACTTGATATCCGCGGAATTTGTGAGGTTTAGGTCAGAGAGGAAGACGACCGAGTCCCCTACTCTCGTGACTACGCCTTTTGCATGGTTCGCGTCACTGGCGATTCCGTACGGAATGTTGGCAAGGGAGAAATGCTCGGAGAAACTCATGCTGGCAGGGAGATTGGTATCAATGATTGGCTTTATGAAATTCGATTGGGCTCTAGAGAGGTTCTGATTGTATCGCAGCAGGCTGCATTCCTTTTACACGTGCGCGATGAAGCTCTTGGAGCTCAAATGTCTGTTTGCTAAGGTAGGTAGTTACCACCAACCTCGGCGCCCCCGCTCTCCCCCACCCCCACCGGCCCCGGATTTTAACTCCGGCCCACCAAAGGTACGTAGGAGGCTCGGATCAGGGACTCGGAGCCCAAACCAACTTGCAAACTCGGCACAGCTGATGATGGAGAGTAAGACACTCCGGCATTAGAACTCCGCACCTGGCTTCAATTTTCTCTACTTCTAAGGAATTACGGGTAGAGTGACATAGTTCTCAAGGCCTTGGCCGAAATGAATATTGTTCAATCCAGAGAATTTGGATGCAGGCCTGAATAGTGGAGTTGTTAGTCTAAAGTCCTTGGGGAAAGAATTGAGCAAATTCGAACTTACCGGTCAACTTCTGAGCAGTGCTGGAAAATTCCGCTGCCCTGGGTGTCGCCGCTGCTAACCTCGAAGACGATCTTGCCGCCCTTGTCGACAACGACATTTGTCGGCCAGACCTCGATGTCTACGCCGTAGACCTCTCCAGCCTTGACTGGCAGGACGTCTGTGGAGAGGTACTCTCTATGCGGCAGCCAGGACTTGTGCTTGGGGCTCTCGTCGTGCACCTTGCGATTGCTCACTCTCAGCCAGCCCTTGACGAGCGGCACGGGGTCGCCAGCTGTTCCGGTGTAAAAGACTTCCTGGCCCGATGGGTCGATGTGGCGCAGGGTCACGAAGAGGTCGATATCGGTTTCATTTTCCGAGTTGTCGGGCGTCACCGAGACGTTGAGATGGGCCGTGACGTGGCCTGTGATCTCCGTCTCTTGCTCAAAGGGAGCGGACGTGAAGGAAACAACTTGAGGGTTCTCCAGGGAACCCAAAGCCTTATACGAGACAGTCTTGGAATCCTGGCCAGAGCCATTTGTCGTTAGACCAAGGTCAGGCGTCAGATAGAAGTTGGTGTAATCTGTTCGCGGAATTGGCCAAGCAGCTTCCTCTCTCTTGGGATACGCCTTCTCCTTCTCGGCGTCGTTGAATCCGACGTTGCCCTTTCGCAGAGTAAGCGTCACGGGAGGCACCTTGCCAGGCGTGCTCCAGCCGACTCTATCTTCACCCTTCAAGAATGCATCGAGGAAACTCTTTTGTAGCTCCACTTCCTCGGGGTAGTAAAATGGGAGATCGTGACGGCCAGTGATGAAGCGCAAATACTTGAGCTGGGAGCCTGCTCCGAGGTATCCCTGCACGTTGCCTCTCAGGTGAAGAAGGATGCCACCCCAGTTGGCTACGCTCAGAACAGGAACCTCAATGTCCTCGAGCTTGTATTCTTTGCTTGCGTAGTAGTCATCGTCGCGGAAGCGGTTAGCTTCGTTGTCTTTCGTCTGATCTTGGCGGTTGGCTACCAGGACGTCTTCTGGCAGGTCACCCTCAATGGTGTCCTCCTGACCTCTGGCTCCAGGACCATCTGGAGGGAAGTCCAGCTTGGATCTATCTTTCCTGCCATATTGATTGACCAGTACCTGGCGGTTCCACCAGAAGCCGATAAACTTATTGGAGTGGATGCCGCCGTGACGGCAGCGGTCGCGGTAGTAGTCGGACATACCCTCCCAAGGGATGATAGCCGCGAGACCTTTGGGCCGCCGAGCGGCAACGCGCCATTGAGAACCTGGGAGTAGTAGGTGAGTAAGCGGTCTCGGCTAATAGTTTGAGAAGAGGAACAACGCACCAGCGTAATACGAAATACCCAACAGACCGACCTTGCCGTTAGACCAGGGCTGATCTGCAGCCCACTCAACCACGTCAAAGAAGCACTCGCTCGTGCCACGGCTCATGGTATCCAACAGTCCTGGGCTCTGGCCCAGTCCTCGCTCGTCGGCTCGAACGATAGCATATCCCTGGCTCGTCCAGAAGACCGGATCGGGCGTCTCCCAGGCCGAGTATTTGGATCTCTGGTCTGGAGCAACCTCGCTGAACGACTTGGGATAGAACTTGACATAGGGGATATCTTTGCCATATGGTCCGTAAGTCACCAGCACAGGGTAACGTGCGGCCTTATCCGAAGTGAGCGGAAGGTAGACGTTCGCGCGAATGGGGAGCGGGGAGTCTTTGAGCGGGATGGAGACGTTCTTCATAAAGGTGAGGCCATTCTCCTGGTCCTCGGTGACCTCGAGCAGGTCTTTGATGGGAGGGGTCTTGACAGACATGGTGATTGGAGCTAAATGTTTGCCTATATGTCTCAGGCTGGGGGTGATTGGCGTTCAGTCGAAGGAGATGTCAAGTCTTGGAGGGGCGTTCCTTGGTTTTATTGCAATGGGGTGGGCGGGACTGGGCACTTGAACTCTTTCACCGAGGATGAGATGAATGGAGCGGATGATGCAAGATGCTTCAATGATCGGACCCCTCCTCCCACACATCAACCTACTTCGGGTGGTACTCACTCTGCCTCTACTCCTCATCGCTGCCGCCGCCGCCTCCGTGTATGGCGTTTGTTGCGCACGGGCGGAACGGTGGGGGAGGGGCTGACCCCAACGAGCGGAGCCAGCACGGTATTGTTTCTACCCCGTCTCGGTACGGACTATTCGTATTATGATCCCTTGGGTACCTTACGGTAAGGCAAATGAGACGATACTCGTCGCAAACACCAGATTCCCTGCCCCAGGCCACCACACGATGGAGTCAACCAAAGGAGAGATTTGGAGGTTTACGATATCTTGCAGACATAGAAAATGGATTGCTGTCATTGAATGTATTGAACACAGAGTAGATGCCATCCGCCACCACCATGCCTCTAAGGCGACACTATTCACTGAAAATTTCACAACCAGCGCATCAAAACTCACCACCGACCTTGAACCTGAAAATATCCTTATTCACTCTTCCACCCGTCGACCTCCAGAGCCAGTTGGTAACCTGATGGACTCATGTCAGCATGCTCACCTTCACCCATTTTGCATGCGCCGCGAACGACGATTGCACATTTCACTCACCCCTTGAAGCCAACACCCATTCAACATGACAAACACAAAAGCCGACTCGATGCCATTTGACCCCCATGGCCTGTCTGCTATATCCATATTCGTGTTCGCCGGCCTGTATGGAGGGACCTGGCGGTGCTGGTCGTACCACCCGGGCGGGTTCACTGCTGCTGGCGATGGAGCATCCGCATTGCCTCTCGCAAAGGCTTCCTCAACGCCTCCGGTGAGACGAATCTGATAGTCGTGGAGGTAGTCTCGTTGGATCGTCGTCGTGACGGGGTTCTCTGTGACAGTTGCCGACATGATGACCTTGCTTATTGTCTTTGCGTATGTGTGTGGTGAGATGATGAACAAGCGAAATCAATTGAAACTTAGACAACTTCGACAAGAAATGGTAGAGATGGCCTAGGAGAATTGGAGACGCCTATCTCAGAAATTCGACACGAGGAGGCAGGGCACCGCTTCAATATGCCGACCGTCGACCCGTCCCTTCCCAAGGACCCGCGCCACCCGATCAACCTTACCATGAACCTGCGGATACGCCTGCGTCGGAAGTGCGGAGAGAACCAATAAGACCTGTGGCAAGCGTCGGTTTGGAGGCTGCCGCCTACCAGATCCTAGTCAACCCGCAAGCAACGAATGTCGAGAAACGACCAGCACCCCTGTCCTCCACATTCCGCCCCTCCAACAAGCCGGGGCCTAGCTCAAACGAAGGTTACGGTCCGCGGACAGATGTTTGAGCTTGCCGAGTTCATCGGATCTGCCCATGAATCCGATATGAGCTTGTGTATAGCGAGCTCAGGTCTTGTAGATAGCACATTATTCCATCGTCGCAACTTCAACTTTTCGTTGCAATCGAGTCGCTCTACTCTTCACCTGTCAACGAGTGCTTGTCCTCCTCCCGAACTTCTCCAAAACATCACCGCAATGAATCCTGCTGTAGAGAAGTTGCTCGTAACGCTCGTCGACGGGCGCGCCGAAGTCATTCGCTTCCGCCAGGATAACCTCATCAGCCTCCACAACGAGCTGCGCAAAGAGTCCGCGGCCCTGACTGCCGCTCAGGAGAAGGATACCGGCGCATCAAAGACAGAGATCGAGGCCGAGCACTTCCTCGCACTGGAAGCTGTGCGACATTTCTACGAGTCTCTAAACTTCTCGAAGGATATTGAGGCCGAGTATCTGGTTGCTCATGGCAAGGATAACACGAGCAGAAGGACCGGTGCCGGACTGGTGATCATTCGGCCGACCACTTACACCAGGCTCTTCTCTATTCTGAGTCCACTTGCTGCGGCCCTGGCTGCCGGCTCTGTTGTTGTTCTCGAGGTACGCCTGATAATTTGCAACATTGGCTCACCTGTATCAGAAGCTGACAGGAAGGCCTACAGCTCGAAGATACGTTGTCGCAGCTAGATTCCGTCCTCCGCAACGTCCTTACGCGTGCCCTCAATCAGAATGCCTTCTGCATCGCCAAGAAGATCACAGACGAAACATTACTGTCACAGGCAATTCTAGTAGATCAAACCAACACAGCGACCCCGAACGCTAGTCGCGCAAACCATCTCATTTCCGCCAATGGCGCACGCACCGTTGCTATAGTTGACCGAACAGCGGACATTGAGGCCGCTGCCAAGGCTATCACGGCGGCGCGCTTCAGCTTCGGCGGTCAGTCGCCTTATGCGCCAGACTTAGTTCTCGTGAATGAGTTCGTGAAGAAGGAGTTCTTTGAGGCGTGCTCAAAGTATGCCTCGCTCGCGTTTGCCCGTGAGACTACAGTAAAGCGTGCGAGTGACAGCGCCAGCGACGAAACGAGGAAGGCAGTACAGGAGGCTGAGGACAAGAGACTTGCCTCGAGCTTTGGGTCCAAGGACTTCAAGCTGGTTGATATACAAGACAGGTAAGTTGGGATCTCACTCACTTGTAGTTGACGAAGATGCTGATTCAATCAGGAATGCCTCCCTCTTGAACATCAAGATCAGTGGGCGCTTTCTGCCTATCACGACCTCTTCTGGTCTTGTAGACTCTATTTACACTCATGAATTCGAGTGAGCTAAAACTCATCGGTCACATCAAGACTTTTTTGCTGATTTGACTAGGAACCCTCTCTTAGCCGCCTATCTCTTCGCCAGCCCTGATGCAGCAAAGTACCTCTCCCAATTTCTCCCCGCCCACGTCTCCGTCATCAACCAGATCCCCTCGAACCTCCTCCTCGGCCCGGCAGCACCGCTCTCCCACGACGTAGCCTTTGAATTCCGCTACAGTAGAGAAATGTTCTCCGTTGCCCGGCCGCATTTCGTCGAGAAGCCCGTCGGCGCGCTCGCGAAACTGGAGCAGCTCCTCACCAGCTCTGGCGCCATCACCGCCCAGAATCTGCATGCCCTGGCTGTCGCACCGCTGCGCCCGACCAACCAGCCAGGCAATAGCAGACTGGGTTTCTTCGAGCAAGGGTTCGTGCTGGGTGCCGGTCTAATCATGAGCGTTGTACTTCCGAGTCTTGCATACGGCACATGGATTGGCGGAAGGCGGGTATTTGATTATGCGCTGAAACTGAGGGGTTAAACTATCGTCCTACGCCGGAGGACAGTCGCAAATCTCAATATGTATCATACCATATCATATCATGTACCTCTAGTTTACATGCATGCTACTCGATCACACTCGTCTTTTCCATAAAACTCTTCTCGGCATATTACGAGCGGTCGACAGATCAGGCTATTGAATCATCTCATTCCCGGACTCATGCCGCTTAGTAATTCGCCGCAAATACGATTAGGGAAACCAAGAAGTGCCATTGAGGAATTCAACAGTTGGAAAACAGACTGAGGTTGAACCCTGTCACGCCTGTCAGAGTCCCGAACACACCACTTGCCTACCTTTACCTTAGCAAACAATATTCGGCAACTTTCCCCGGCTCGGGTTCGGCTCGGGAAGTGGAGAGACTCCTAAGTGCCCGCCCCGGCCCCATCGGCCCCAGCTTTACCCCAGGTCTTGGTCCCGCTGATTCTCCGACACTCCAGCGCCAACACCACCTACTCCAAGCTCGGGCAGGCCACCCAGGCGTCCTCGACAATGGAACGTTTTATCGTCCTCAGACCAGTTTCCGTAAATGGGGCCGTTCGAATCGACTTCCTAACGAACTTTGGCGGCAAAACCTATCCTCCACCAGGCGATTCCTTACACAGGCAAAAGATAACCATCTCAGTGTCTTAAGTCTCATCAGCTTCCGAGTGCTAAGAAGGCGGCTTTCGACCGTTGCTCATCTTCGTGACCCATACTCTGCTGCGTAGACATCCAATTACTCGCTTGCCTTACTTCGATCAGCTCAGACGGACGAGTTGAGAACCCAGATAGCAATCAGATCATGGCGGTGGGATCCAAAGATGAGGGGCCAATGAACCCCGTTTTCCTGTTCGCGCATGGATCAACAATGATGCTCGGCGAGGAGAGCAACTCGGCCACGTACTGGAAGAAGTGCGGCGATGAAGCCCTCGCCCAGGGTATCGAACACATTGTCATGATGGTAAGTAGGCTCCTCTCCCTACCATCTCATATCTCATGGAAGCAACTCAACTCACAACGACCACCAGGGAGCCCACTGGGCCACAAACGCCCCCGGTGAGGTCCTCATCTCAGCCCACCCAACGCCCGCAAAGTCACCAGTCGCCTACGTTAACCCTGAGAAATACCACCCCTACAAACTGAACCCAGACCTCGACTACATCCCCACGATCCAGCAGCACCTCGCCGCCGCCGGAATCCCCGCCAAGACAGACCCGACCTTTGACTGGATCCACGACACCTACCTCGTCCTCATCCGCATGTTCCCCGCCGGCTGCCCGCCGACGACGCTCATCTCCATGAACGACTTCTATGACCCGCACTTCCACGTCGCAGTCGGCGCCGCCCTGCGGCCCCTGAGAGCCGCCAAGCACAAGACGCTCTTCATCGGCTCTGGCGGCTCCGTCCACAACCTCTACCGGAACAACTGGGCGCCCATGCTCAAGTTCCGCGACAACTTTGCCCAGCCTACGCCCCCGGAGCCCTGGGCGCTGGACTTCCGCCAGGAGGTCATTGACGCCTTTTGTCCCGCGTACGAGGAGGACGTCCCCACCGACCAGGCCGTCTACGGCAAGGCCATCCGCGGCAAGAAGCCGTGCGGCGGGCCGCTCTTGAGGCGCAAGGTAACGAGTTTGATGAAGCATCCCATGTACCGCGAGGCGCATGCTACGGATGATCATTTCATGGCCACCATGTTCATCGGAGGCTTGTGCGGAGACCGGAGAGACGTGGCGATGAAGGCTGAGATGGGGGCCGAGGATTGGGAGCTTACAAATATGTGCAACTCACAGTTCATTATTGGTAGCTGGCCGGAGGCCAAATGAACGAACCAAGAAGTGGATGAATTTGGGAAATACTTTTTGATGGTATCTGATACAATATGCAGTACTATTCTATGAGGCCAAGGCCTCGTCAAGAGAACATGCCCCCCGTGCTAAGATAGGTTCACTAAGATAGGTCCATGTTGTCCCATTGAAAATCGTCACCAGCACCGAGGCCACTGAAGAGGTCGTCGGCACCGAGATCCAGTGACCCTCCACCATTGTTCGATGAGCCCCCGAGACCAAGATCACCGCCAACACCTCCTAGGCCCAGATCGAGACTGACGTTGTCCACAGACATCCCGTCGCCTTGCGCAACATTGGCAGCCGCGGCAGCCATGGCATCATCGAGTGAGCCTGCGCCAGCGTCTAAGCTCAGACCGAGATCAGTCTGCAGCATGGTGTCTGCTTGGATGACCTCAGCCTGGGATACGGCCATCTGAGTCTCTACCTTGCGGTACAGCCTCACAACAATCTCGGCAAGGTTCATGTCGACCTTCTGCAGCTTTTTACACTCCTCGGCATCTGACTTCAGAACCTCTCGCAGAGTAAGCTTCCTCTGGATGGGAGCCGGTACATTGCCTGAATTGTCGATAAAGTTGATCGGGTTCGACGGCGTGTTCACCACGTCGGGCGCGCAGACTAATGCTGTTGCCACATCGTAAATGATGCTCCCGCTGCCCGTTTCTGTTTGTTGTCTGATGTCTTCGTAAAGGAGCTGCAGTAAACGTTTTGCACCAAGAAGTTTCATCGCCACCAACATCTGTCGATGGGTGTACGCGGGAGGCATCCTGTCCATTGTTGGGTGAATGCTCCACTGCACCAATTGCTGTAGCGTCTGTCGGATAGAATTAGAGAATCCTCCCATTGACCAAGCGTCCAGTTCTTGGTGGTCGGCGGCTCCCGTTCTTCTGGAGAGTGGGATACTATCTTTGATTGCTTTTAAAAGCGGTTCAACCTCTTGGCTCTTTGGGTCTGATCGTTGGTATGCCCTGAGGGAATGCTCCAGCGGCTTAGCAACTATGTTCATCACGGAAGAGAGCATGGCTTGCGCTTCATTGGACATAGATGTTGGTGCCAAAACAGAGTTGAGTACCCTGACAATCGCCTTTTGGCAGTCAGGACGCTCAACCCACAATGAGTTGGCAAGAGACGTGATGGCAACGACGAGGGATGGCAGAAGGAACGTATCGACAAGATCTGTAAACATGTCAGCGCAACTCTTAGTCAGACTTCCCAAAGCTCCTACATTCAATGCCTCCTCTGAGGCTCTCTTCGGCCAAGTGTCCTGTACTGAACGCTAGAACGATGTTGTGAAACAGAGTCGACACTAGTAAGTAGAAGTCCTGAGGCGGGCAGGACGACATCAGCTCATCGCCTAGTCCGCCCGCTTCCGAGTCAAAGAGGCCGTGAATCCACCCATCCAGATGGCCCTTTTCTTGGTCTGATAACTCTTCCAAAGACCGACTTTGGTGGCCGTGGCCGAGCAGTCTTGCCACAAAAGAGTCAGAGGATATGATCCCCATATCTGATGCCGAAAGACCGTAACGAAATGCGAAAGCCATAACGAGAAGCAGAATTGAGCCAAACTCCTCGTACACGGGTTGATACTCTCCTTGGTCCTCATCGTACTTCCAGTTGTCCAGAAGGTCGCACAAAGGATGAAGAATCGTTGCAGGTTTCTCGAACATCAGCATGACATCAAGAGACAATGGCTTCTGCGCCAACTGACTGCATAATAGTTTCAGGGACATTGTCTCCTTATTCCTGCAAAGCTGCCCCATTACCTGCTAAAGGTCAGCATTAGCCTGCGTTGATAAGTACGGAAGACTGACTTCTGTCAAAGCTTGGCACACGGCGCCGGCGTTTCCTTCTTTGCTGTCTAACTCCCCAATCAGAGCCTGCATTCTCTCCGGATCTGCAAGGCATTCTGCGACAAGATTTTCTTTGACGTATCTCCCGCTTGCTGGAAGGGATGAATAGGGTGTTTCTCCAAGGAGAGTTTCAATACTGCTTTCCCGCAATAGGCCGTGGAGACAACAAGCCCAGCAAAAGTCTTCCCGAACTGAGTCTGTGAAGGGATTGTTACTTCTGGTTTCATCGAACATTGATGATAGTGTGGGAAAGGTGGTCGTGTCGACGCGGCTGAGAGCTTCCGTGATGCAGTATTCTGCATTCACTGGGCCGTACATATGCTTGCTCAGACTTTCAATCAGAATCGGTAATTTATTCATGAGAAATGAGCGCAATAGATGTGCCGCTTGTTTCCCTTCATTGCGGGAGGCGGCATTGGCCAGTATGTCGAACGAGACCAGGATGAGGTCAACAGTTGTTGATTGTACATCGCCCTGCGGATGTCAGTTGGTGTGCGCGTTGTGTCTGCATAGACCAAAAAAAGTCATACCTGGTATCTATTGTTCAAGTAGTTGAAGATGGCTAGATCATCGATCAATGGCCGGCCAACTAGCTATTGCGCTTCCTGTCAGCACCTCCCCCAGAGCGCAGCTTCAATTATCTTACTGCAGCATTCAAGTATATGTAAAGACCAGCCCTAGAGTTGACTATCGGTAGCTCAGACACTACAAAGTTCTCCAATGCTACCGTGGAGTCAAACAAGTCCTCGATCTCGGCATTCGACTTGTTCTTCTGCTCGTCGACTGGCTCAAAGCCTGCTAGCGTACTCGTCCGGAACATATCGAGACGGGTCGCGATAGGGCCAGCACTTTGCATGATGGTTGGGACGAAGTTGGCGAGGCTTTCGGACAATGCCTTTCTGATTTCTTATTCAAGATTAGCTAACGCGAAGTCATTGCAGCAGTACCTAAGCACCTACCTTGGGCTTCGGGTTTACTCAAAGCCTTGAGAACAACCTGATTTTCGCACACCCCGAGAAGCAAAGCTACGAATGCGGCACGCGCCGATTCCATCTCTTCTCTTACCTGGCTACTGTGAAGCTGCCCCATGACATCGACCGTGAAGGCTGTGGCGGCGTCGGTGAAGAGCGCAATCCATTTGGCCATGACGTTGGCGATCTCAAGACCCGTCCCTGTGTTTTGTATTGCGGTCCCTTGCGCTACAGACTTGGTGAGCCTGTAGAACATGACCTCCTCGGCCGCATACGAGCTCTCCCATCGTGGGAAGCTTGTTGTCTGGTTTTCGACATTGGGCAATTGTCCAGCTTCTCGGGAGTGGCCACGAGAGGTCGAATACTTGTACAAAGCTTTAAGAATCGAAGGCGTATCGATATAGTTCAGTCTAGAGAGGACCTGGAGGTAGCGTGGGACTCGAGGGTCGAGGCTCTCGTGATTGTGAGGTTGCGGTCGTAAGAAGAGATCGGCGACGGCAACTGGCGGCAACGGATGCTTTGCTTGGAGAAACGGAACATAGGATTCGAACTTCTCGGGATCTATGCGGTGAGCCAGACTCTTGGCTATGAATTCGGACCATTGCTCAAGTGCGGCGCGCTGAACGCCTCGTATTACGCGACCGTCCATGTTGGCGATGCTGGCAATAAAGTTGCGGGCTGATTCGAGGTTGTCGCTGTCGTGGAGTAAGACGCTAGGCGGATTAAGCCGGGCTCTTTGATCTCGCCCTGGCCGTTTGTACGAGCATACTTCTACGCTCGCTTTAGTAGATGCGCAGCTGGGAAAGCATAAGTAGTTGCGGCAGTGATGTGTTCTAGGAAGGTCGGGGCGCATGCGCGACTCTGTACTGGGAGAGGATAGGTAGTATGAGTTTCTTGATGTTTGGTCGCGCTGCCGTTCGCTAACGCAACTTCCATCATCTTATCCACTGCGGAGTGTATCCGCACCTCGGAGGCCCATGGCAAGATAACGCACAGGGTACTTAGGTACCTAAGCATGCTGAGGCAACTTTCGTAGGTCACCAGGAACGGATACCCTAGATGCCACTAATGCATTCCCTGCATCTTTCTGAACATGGTGATTGACCACGGATCACATACCTGGGCCCAAGTCTCATTATTGGAACTACCTTCTCTTGCCCGAATGGCAACTATGTGGCATGCATACGAGGACATTTCAACAATCACAATACGCTCATCGGGTCAGTTAGCATGTGATGCTCTCACAATTCATGAATTTGACGTTGATTTCCACTACTGCCCGCTATTGCAGAAAGTTAACTATGAACGCTGTGAGCCAGTTACCACTTGGTTCTGGGGAGCATTTCATGTGGCTCTCAGGCCTGTCTCTCGAGTTGAGATGCACTAGCATCAATCAGCTCGTCTCCTACAGGTGCAGTTTCTGCGGCGAGATGTTGCGCCAATGTGGCCAGTCTCTCCCACGGTGCACACAAGTCCGCCTGAGTGGCCAGATTTGACTTTCATGACGAACCAGATCCCGACCTACAGCTCTGAAGCGGCGAGGCGGCAGACCTGTCACCCGTGCCAACTGAGCCTCGTCATTCGTTCCTTGGCCCGTGTCCACCGCCTTTTCTCTTCCTCTCCTAGGCTGGAGCTTTGAAGCTACCAAAGGACCTGTCTTCTCCTCACCGGGAATGTCTTTCAATCGTTTCCATCAAGCCATATTAGAGAACGCCGATTGCACGTGTTGTGTGTATGTGTGGGGGGTGTTGTAAAACTGTCAGCCTAGCAAGATGCATAATGCGTCGCTGACAAAAAGGGCATGGGTGACGGTGGGTGCTGTGGATTGGGGAATATGGGGTTGACGGGATGTTGATCCAATGTTGGCAAGTTGCTGAACCAGCAAACGGAATTTTCGAAGGTCGCTGGCAATTTGGTACTTTACATGTCCATCGAATCGCCGCCATTGGCGAAGCTGAAGCCACCCTGCTGGGGAGCGGCGTTGGTGCCGAATCCAAAGGTACCGTTGGGACCGGTGCCCTGGGCCATGCCCTCATCCGCGTTCTCCTCCTCATCAGAGAAGTACTTCTCGATAATGTTGTACGCCTTCATGTAGATCTCCTCGTTGGCGTTGGTCTGGCAATCGTGAATCTTCTCCATGCCACCGCACTCCTCGATA